AATACGAATCAGACTTCGAAAACTTTACTGGAACCATAAATCTTTACTTTTATAAGGTTTTTTACATTATAATGAACAAAGCCCTAGTAAAAACTTCCTCGAATAATTTGCATCATAAAAACAAAACAAAAAAAAATACATATTAATGCAAATTTACCAGATTTGAGAGCTTGAAAAAAGTTCACGTTTTTTAGCCATATAAGTAACCGACATGCCAGAAGTAAAAAAATTAAATACATACAAACACACAAAAGCATATTTTTATGTCTCTATTCGCAAAAGTAAACATTATACTTAAAAATAAATGAAGAAGAACAATGAAATTTGATTCAAGCGAAGCAAATTAGTGCGAAAGGACCCGAAAATTACAAAAACATAATCAGCCTCATTGCGTAAGTCGTAAATTAGGCTAAATTGTACGACTCTACAACATTGGCATTGTCTACTGTCGTGCCGAAATAAGTAAACGACGAAAATCGTCGAAAATTATACAGTGCTGCCAAGTTTTCCGGTTTTAATACACTAGTCGAGTGGAAATTTTAGGCACTGACGTGAAATTTTCGATACGATTCGACTCTCGAAAAACGAGTATAAATTTTAGGCAATGACGTGAATTTTTCGATACGATTCGAATCTCGAAAAACGACTTGCATTCGACAGGACTCTGTCAATAATAACATTTTCGCTAATTTACTTTCATATAAACTTTTAAAGGTGTCAAATGATTTCATTTTTGCTTTACATGGTACGTATTCCAAAAAATTTCAGGAGATGCTTTAAACCCCAAAGAACCCGCTGTAAGCGCCAATGTAATACCAAAGTATAGCCAATAATGTTAAACCTTAATAACCATAAAATGGAAGCGTTCTTTTGTTATGCAATTTTATTTTTTATTTATTTATTTATTTTTTTCAAGAAACTCAACTTACCGTTCATAATCGTTAGCACTAAGCAGAGCGCATCTTTGGTCTCATACGCATATGCCAAGTTCACAACAAAGCGGGAATTTATTTTTTGCAAAATCTGTTTCTCTATCAGCACCATCGATTCGCCTTTACGTTTTTTTATGCGCTTCTTTTCGAGTTTTTTGCAAGCGTACATTTTACCAGTGGCACGTACCTGTAAAATGACGAATAAGTGTCATGACTTGTACTTTTGTAAATACATATGCATGCATGCCATTTTATGTATTCGAAAAATATGAATGCCATAAAAATGTGTTGCAAGTACTTCTGAATAAGCATACATTTGCATATTTTACACTTTCCCCGGTTTATGTATTGTGCGCTTTTGCTTTATATATATTTTTTTTTGTATTTACCTGACATGCACAGACCTCGCCGAAGCCACCTTTGCCCAGTACGCGGTACATACGAAACGTTTTGTAGGTGATGGGTTGCGCCTCCAGCCATTTCCATTGCAAATATCTGTGTAACGAAAGGTGAAAATGGATTTGTTAAACATTGCAATCACACAACCGTTCATTTCTTGCAACAAAATATTCTATGCACACGAATAACTATTTGTACTATTCAAATGTTGAACAAATAAAGCTTACATACACAATTGCAAATGACAATATTATTGAATTTAGAGAGTCTTCGTCGAATTCTCGCAGCCCTATACTTTAACATAAGTCTACCATCGGTTTAGAAAAATATAATTTTTATTATATTAAGCAAATTTATTTTATACATTATTTTTAAATTGAAATTGGAATCCTCCTTGGTTTTTTTTTTGCTAGCTTATCTAGCACTTGCTGAGGATTAACTTCCAGATCCCTATGCACATTTAGGAGCGCCAACCCAACCAATCTCTCCTGCCCAATGCTACTACGCAAATAAGTCTCCAACCTAAACAGTTTACTGCTTGTTTTCACACAAAAATACTACAGTGGTGGGAAAATAAATAGGGACTCGACATTTTAACAAATTTTTCCTATTTTTCGTTTATTTATTTAATGTTTATACTTTTTTTATAATAGTAAAGCTCATTATCTAACAAAAACTATATAAAGTCATATTTCAAACTTTGTGCAAAAACTATGAAAATTCTGCAAAATTGCTAAGTACTAAATTTTCAATCTTTTAATCAGAGCTTTTAGAATTTTGTTGATTTTTGAAAAGTTTTATTTTGAATATATTACGCACTTTTTTCCATACAAAAAAAAATTGTCGAACACACTGTGTATGGAAGAAAATGCGTTAAAAAAATTGCCAAAAATCAACCTGATTTAAACTTACACTTTATTTTACTAAAATTTAATGGTTGGATCATTAATTTATTGCTATTTAAATATAATTGCAACACTTACCGATGGAAATACATTGAAGTCTCGAATTCTCGAAATGGTTCGCCAGCTAGAAAGGCTTTCACCGCAGTCACACACGGTTCGAAGAGCTCCTTGTTGCCGCTTGTAATTTTGTCCCGTACGCGCGCAATGAGATCATCGTTGAGCACATCCAGCACTAGTTCGTCGCGGTTGAATAAATTCAGTTTTTTACCGCCCGCAGTATACAGGCAATTGATTTCCTTATCACCACCACCGTTGTCGTCACAGCCGCCTCCTCCGCCTCCTCCGCCACTCCCTTCACCGCTGCCACCACCAACTGTATCGCCGGCATCCACGCCACTATCACCGCCACCAGAGCCACCGGCATCATTACATTGTATCGCAGTGTCATCCCGCTGTTGCTGGTTTTGTTGCTGCTGCTGCTGCTGCTGTAGATGATCGTTGCCATTGTGTTCGTCCCCATTGTGACGTTCGTATATTTTGTGATTGTTGCTGCTGCTCTTGTTGGCGGTGGTATTGTTGCAATTTTCAGTCTCTGCTGCAGTGTTACTTTCAACGGTGGAATTGGTGATATTGGCATCATTGACATCATTCTCAACGCCGATATCACAAATGCCATTATTCAACGCCGTAGGCGTGTCAATGGCCAAAAAGCGCCGACCAATGTCGACAGCAATGGATATACGATTCTCATCGTATTCCACGTCATATCTAAATTTCGAAGTTGAAGATAGCAAAAAAGATATTCTAATAATATGTATTGACATAATGACATCAATTGCAAGGCAAATACAAGTACTCACCGCTGCACTTCATCCAGGAAGGAAATGTACCTAAAGTAAATGGGCCGCTTGCTTTCACAAAACTGTCTAAACAATATACGGCCAATGGGTTGTTGGTCTATCACGTAACCATAGCTTATATCTGAAAGAAACATACAACAGAAAAATCTTAATATGTACTTAACGGATGAAAGCAATAAGGATAAATTCAACGTTAAGACCTCTGCGAACTTGATAATAGTTAATATGTAAAGGTTCCTCAAATTTAACGAAACAAGGCGAAACAAGGGCTTTCGCTCGATTTGTTCAAATAAATTTAAGTGAAAGGTATGAAGTTTTAAGGAAAAGCAATTGCTTAGTCCCTATGTCCCAGGACCCATATTAGGATAATTTCGTATTGATCAGATATATAGGCTAGTTCTCTCCTACAGTCTTCAACACGTTGAGATCTAACCGGGGTAGAAGAGAGTGCCTCAACGGCAATTTTTTTGGTCAAGGGGATTTTTTTGTCAAGAGATTTCGCATTAAATTTAAATGGTTGTAAATAAAAAAAGCAAAAACTACATGCATTTATTGTAAAATATACTAAAATATGCGCAATAAATATGCAAAAGCAGGTATTTTTTGCAAAATCATGCATTTACTGCAAAATATGCAAAAATATACACTAACGATTGAAAGCCATTTTAAAGGAAATTCATGATTCGTAAAGATAACTTGTCTGTCTGTAAGTCTTGTGGGGAAACATAAAATTCGCAAAAATTGGGTTCGGTGGGTTAGAAAGAAATTAAAAACAAAGCTGCTAAGCAGAGGATATATCCAATTTGAAAGACACATTTAAGTGAAAGCTATGGTAATATCACTGACGTTTTGTTTCAACGAAATAAAATTCTTACCTAATTTGTCTCTGAGGTGTATACACTGCGATATGTGTGGAAATTGTAGAATTTTGCGCCATTTTTTGCTTTTGCCTTTGTTGCTGTCGGAACCACCTGAAATCACAGAAAGCAGATAAAACATAAAATTAGAAATTTATGAATTTAAGTATGTAAATACGTACATATAAGTTTACAAGAATGTCAAAATTATGGCTGCATGTACCGAAATATATTCATACATAAGTCTGTGATGAAAATATGTACATACATATGCATGTACGTTTGCATTTTTATACTTTAATGAAGATGAAATGGTCTGATACCTGTAGGAGTCTTTGTGTAATAAAACTGGTCAACAGTGAGATATATCAACTTTGATAAAAGTCTCTTTAAATATACATATGTATATGTATCTCTTACGCATCATCATTTGTATATAATCGAGCTGTCAATGGGCAGCCGTATAATTCCCCACTTCTACCTTATCTTTGAGGTATGTCGAAGAGAACATAGTTCTTTTTATGATATTGTTTTGTTTTCTGCAGTTTAAATAGCTGCATTTGTTTCTTCTGAATTATAATTTTAAACCACATTTTCGTGATTTGCTTCTGATGTTATATTCTTTTGAATACTCTCTCTCTATCAATCTCTATACTGCCGTACTGATTTAAAATGTGGGTATCTGCATTTTTCTTCGAAAATGAGTTATTTATATCGTTGAATTGTTCTTGAAAATACGAATTTATACATGCGAAAATAGTTCCCAAATTATAAATAATGATAAAGTTATTGAGGTTCGAGAAATCCTGATGTAAATCGTGGGTATCGCAACAATTTTGCAGTATCTACACTTTTTTCAGTAATTCAGCCGGAATTGTAGCTTGCATACTGATCAAAAATAACGTATCTACACTGCGGTATGTAGATACTAAATAAATTACAAATAATACAAATAAGATAAATAATACAAATAAAATACATATGTGTTATAATTATTGGTTTCCATTTCTTATTTTTTTAGTTTTCTAGAAATAAAATTGAACATATGAGTCGATACGTATAAAACCGCCCAAGTTCATCATAAGACAATTTTGGGAAATTGGGGTTTCTCTTTTCTTGCTGTCTATTTCGAATAGCTTTTGCAAAACTCTAAAATTGTTTACAAAATAGATCTTGGAAGCAGTTTGCGAAAAAAGCATGGAAAGTTAAGCTATATACAAAATAGAGAAGCCCTTTTGTTGGACTTAAGCACGTTTGAAAAATGCCATATGGACTTAGTTTTGAAGCAAAATTTCCCAAAATGTCTTAAGGTGGACTTAGGGAGGTTTGATATATATCGAACCATGTGTCACAATCTATGTACAGTAGCAGAACACAATATGAATGACTGAAATGGACATAAGCAATTCTGATTTACACTGTGCACTGAGAGAACAATGAACCAAAAATTGGTTAATATTACCAAATTCAAACTTGGAAAGGTATCAACGTGATTTTGTTTACATTAACCAAACTTTTGGTTGGCGATTTTTCGTTTGAATACGTTTATATTCTGCACTTCACAGATGCTTTTTCATAATACGGAAATTTTATTATCATTTTAACATGTTGCCTCTCGCGGGATTAGCAAATAACAGCAAGCATCTCCACACACTCAGCTACAGCCACTTTATAAATGTGTCTTCAAATGTTCAACTTGAATGAATTTTCTTCGTCGTGATTTTATTGTCTTCACAGAGGCTTTTTCGTAATTAATAAAAACCAAAAACAGAAAAAAGTAAAAATTTTGTATTTCGGCATTCGTACTGCTGAAATCCAACAAATAACAGCAAGCACCTCTGCTCGTTCAGCCACTGCCATACATACACATTTATTCTCAAATGTTCAACTTGAATCACATTCCTTACAATCGGCTTATTGAGCATGAAAAAATCAAACCATAACTTGGTTGAAAAAACCATTGTGCTTTTGGCTCGGTGTATGCAAGCCGATTTATTTGAAAAATTCAAGAGGAAACAAATTTATTTACGTTTATCAATATCAATAAATTTTCAGCAAACTATCCGAACTGAAACTAGCCATTTGGTTTTGTCAACTTGTTTTCCAACAAATTAATTGAAAACGACTTTTTGAATGAATACGATGGAAAAAAACTACAAATTCGTAGATACCCACGTTCTTCACCAGTAAACTCCGCGCTCTCAGCGCTTTAATACTGCTAAAATGCCGTATCTGCGCAGCATTTTTCTGGCAGCATTTTTATTCGATTTTCGCGAATAAAAGCCTTGAATGTAATAACATGCGCTCGACATGAGTTGATACAAGTGGCGCCCAATTTAAATATGGAACGTTTAAAACTTTCATATTATCAGGAATAAGGGCTTTTTACTTGCCCACTACAATTGAAGGTAGAAAAGGCAAAAAAAAGCCAAATATCTTAAAAAAAAAGCAACATCAAATGTGTATATATGGAATCAGGGAAAGTTAAATCATAGACATCCTTAATCGAATATACTATATCTCTTTAGCAGAAAAAATGGCAATTTCCATAAAATCTGTTCCGTCCGGTTATAAGTTTATTACAACCAGTTCGGTACTAGTACGCTGTAGTACAAGGATAAAACTGTGGCTTGCTATCAACTTTTGATATGAGAGTACGAGAATGCCTTTGTGTTCATCCATACAGACATACATATGTACGTATGTATGTACATTATACTGTATCACCAAAAAGAGTTGCGGTTGTTCCGGCGGGATTACACAATTTATTATATTTGAAGATCTCCACCAAAATATACCTCCAAAAATGGAGTTTTCTATGAATAAAAATAGTTTCTTCAATAACTTTTTGAAAAAAATCCAATCAGATGACAAAACAGATTAAGCTTAAAAAATCTGCATAAAAATATTTAAAAATCTTTTCTATGGAATCGTAATAATGAGATTTTTAATAACTGAGCCATAACTATTCTGATTTAGACCTGTGGGGTCTCAGTAGAAAGGTATTTTTCACTCTTTTTATTTCTATGAAAAAAAAAGTCATTGATGTCGGATTTTTATTTTTTTTTCAAATACCAACGCATCTTAGTTCAACTCGGAATGACGCTCGTTCATCCTACCTTTCTCTTTCATCCTTTGATGAGTTTATTAGCAAAGAAATAAAAAAGTGAGAAAATCCAATGATTCAAAGTTTTCTTATGCCAATCTTTGAAAAAGTTAAAAACAGCATCAAAAATCTCATAATTACGATTCCGTTGAAAATTTAAATTTTTATTTCTTTTTTTTTTATATTTTTATGCAAATTTTTTAAGCTTAAACCGTTTTGTTATTTGAGGGATTTTTTATCCTTAAGAAACTATTTTTATTCATAAAAACTCCATTTTCGGAGGTATTTTCAAATCGGTCCAGCTCACTTAAATCTTAATATTATTCCGAAATATTTTGGGGGACATCTTCAAATAAAACAGATTTTATAATTCCAATGGAAAAACAGTACCGATTTTTTTTTTTTGTATGGGGAGTGATGCAGTCTAATGTACATACGTAGTATACACCAATAAAGTTCTCGTGTAGATAATTTTCGCAATATATGCCAAGTTTTTTTGTATAGAAATATCGTTTATACTACAACAAAAAACATAAAAATAAAACGTCTAAACTTTTCAATAACAATTTTCAACGTTTGGCTTTTGTGTGGCAAGGACAATAATCATACTGAGCTTGGTACAAATTGGTAGAACGGTTAACGAGACACATATATGTGATCATAAGTGGGCGGTGCCACGCCCATTTTCCAAAATTTTATCATAAGCATATTTCTTGGTAAAGAATTGTTGCAAGCTTCAACTGCGAATCAGCTAGCTTTAATATTTACTGATTTATCGAAGATTTTGTATTTCTCTAAATTACCGTTATATGGGATGTGGGCGTGGTTATTGTCCGATTTTAAAATGTTTCGGCGATTTTTTATGCTGTACCAAGGCCAACAACTGTGCCAAATTTGGAAGAAATTGGTACAGCGGTTACCAAGGTATACTCATGTAACCATAAGTGGGCGTGGCTACGCCCATTTTCCAAAAATTTGTAATATTCTTGTTTTTCGTCTGAAAATGATTGTAAATATCAATTTTGAGTGAATTATCTTCAGTAGTTACTAAAATATCGTAGTTTTCGTATTTCTGGCAATTACCTACCAACCAACCTACCTTGGATAAATGAAAACCCACATACCAAATTTCGTTGAGATATCTCAATTTTTTCTCGAGTTATCGTGTACACGGTCGGACCGACAGACAGACGGACGGACAGACAGACATGGCTTAATCGATTTCTTTTTTCATCCTGATCATGTATGTATACATTTGTCTGTATCTATCTCGATTAGTTTTGGCTGTTACAAACAACCGTTATATGAACAAAGTTAATATACCCTTGTGCACAAGTGCGCTCGGGTCGAACATACTTTGCATGGATAAACTGCGTAATAAAATCTCTCTAAAAAATTTAATTAACAAGTGGCAATTCTACTGAACTTTCTTAAGCTTTAGCACAGAGTTTGGACGTTTTAATTTTATGTTTTTTGTTATAGTATAAACTATAAATAATAAACTTGTCACAAATTAAAAAAAAATTCTCTGTATGAGGACTTTATTTGTACGTAAGTACAAAAAGAAGACATAAAATAACAGCAGCAAAATGAACCCATTAAAATGCACGCACACATCACCCATTCGAATCGGCATCCATTATATATTCATATTTGCACTGGTGTTTAAGCCGCCCTAAGGCCACCTTTTAACGGTTATTGCAATGCTTTTAACGTTGACAAACATCGCTGAAGTTGTGTTTAGAAAATGTGACAGTTGCATAAAAATGGTAACGGTAAAACACAGCAGCTGGTAATGGAAATATTCCGATTATTCGTAATTTAGTGATTATTATATATCTACATATCGTTACCTTAATTCGTAAAGGCCCTAACCAACACATTTTTTATTTTACAGGAGAAACAAAAAACATTTTAAAAAGACTATCAAAAATACGTAGGGCTTTTTAAAAAGTGACATGTTAGTTTTTGGTACTGGCACTTAAAAATTTTTATTGACGGTGTGTTTTAAAACATCCTTCCAAAATCTGTGAAAAACGCAGTCTCGAAAC